CAGAGTCGGTTTCATTTGAGAAAGACTCACATAACTGGTCATCTGAGTTGGAGGTGGAGTCTGCATTGGATGTGGATATTAGACAGATGAGAGCTTTGTCTTCATCGTCTGATGAAGAATCGGACTCCCAATTTTCTTTTTCGGCCATTAAGCTTCGCTCTCTAGAATTATACTTGTATTTACTTTTATAGTAGTCAGCATCCTTGATCAATCGTCCTTTGCATTCCTTGGAAAAATGACCAAATTTTCCGCACCTGAAGCATCGAAGGTTATTTTTCCTTCCATCCTTGTCCTCTTTTCTTTCCTCTCTTCTTTATTCTCTTCTCTCTTCTCGTTCTTCCCTTCCATCTCTTCTTTCATCCCTTTGATGGAATTTGGATGGCTTTCTATCATATGATGACTGGTATTTTTCCCTTTTGAACTCTTTTCGCTCATAGGGTTTTCTAATGAACTTCTTTTGGAACTGTTTTATAATCAAGGCCAATGATTTGGCAAAAGCTTTAATCTCATCATCTGATTCAGAAGTTTCCTCTTCAGATTCTGATTCTACCACCAATGCTTTCTTGCCTTTCTTTTTATGTTCTTTGGCAGGAGTCCTTGATTTTTCCTTTTCATCAGCAGCAAGAGCAAGAGGTCCACCGATGGATACCTTTTTCTTCATAATGTCGCTCTCTTGTGCTGCAAGTGTTCCATACAGGTCATGAAGAGACCAGCCATCTAGGTCCTGGTTTTCTTGTAGGGACATAGATAGCTGAGTCCATTCATCGCCTAGACTTTTTAGGAATAAAACGTTGTTTTCTTCCTTAGTTCTGATGATATCATTTCTTAGACATTGATTTATCAATGTGTTGAAGCGATCGTAAGTCTTTTGTATGGGTTCATCAGGGAGGGCTTTGAAATTACTGTATTCGTTGAGACATTGTGCTCTATGAATTTTCTTTGTTTTTGCTCCTCCTTCCAGATGGTTTGCTAGTTCATCCCATAGTTCCTTGGTTGTGGAACATGTATCAAGGGCCTGGAAGATTTCGTTGGATAGGGCCATGATTATCAATCTTTTGGCCTTTTTGTCAATTTCAACTCTTTCCTTGTCATCTTCGTCCCAATTCCTTTCATCTTTAGGCATGTAGTAGGCCGGAATTTCAGTTGTGGTGGTTGTTCCTGGAACTCTTAGGACTAGAGTTTTTGGAATGTAGGGACCCTCCTGTATAGATCGCAGGAGATTCTTGTCCATTCCTTCCAGAAAATTTACCATTCTGATCTTCCATTGTGGATATTCCTCTCGTTGAAGAGTTGGAGGCTTTGTGAGAGAGCCAACATTATAAGCAGAATTCCAGTTGGCCATTGAGAATGTTGAAGAAGAAGGTGTAAATTTATGACGAGAATGAGGATTAAATATTGAGAGATTTTTGAATGATCGTTTTGATTGGGAAATCAATCAATAGGCTCTGATACTAATTGTTGATCCCAGATCTCTCAATAACACTAATAATCTAGTTATGAATAACCAAATTATAGTGATTTTATGAAGAAAAGTTATGAAGACTCGAGAAGAAAAATAAGAATATTTATGAACAGTCTTGAGCTTCAAAAGTTTATATAAACTAAGAAACGTAAGAGCGATTCGTAAAAAGCGACTCTTTTTACAATAGGTCTAATCACCTATTTATACTAATCAACTAATAAGAAGATAACTATATAATGCTACTTTCTAGCAAATCTTCTATTAACAGATAAGGTTTATCTTTTATATGGATAAGCGCTAATATTGAGATAAACTCGAATTCCAGCTGTTGACTTGTCATCTCCAGCTGTCATTCATGATGTGATGATTTCATCCTTATCTTCAAATCTTCATTGCATGCTTGGATGAAGTGCTGAAAATCTTCTAAGTGTTGATAACCATATGATCGATGAGAATGCTCTTTCTATCGCATCCTTGGACTGTCCATCGGTCCTCTGGTTGAATTCCAGACTTAGTCGTTTCTTGCCTTGATGTTTTCATTGGTCTTCTGGTTCTTCATCACTTATTGTTTTTTATTACTTTTTACATTATGAATTGTGGGGTTTAACAGACTTGTCAGAACAAGTTAGGCCGAATAGGTTAACCTTCTTTTGTAATCGATTATGGTCTGCCCATAAGGACCGGTTTTGTAATCGGTAACCGAATTGATTTTAAGAAGTTCAAAATTTTTTTTCAATTGTCATGTATTTAATATCGAAAGTAAATTACATGTTATGTTCTTATGATTAGGTTTTCTTTAGCGAATCATGTTCATGTCTTGAAAAATGAACGGATTGTGCCCTTTTCCGTTTGGATCTTTATCATTAACGTTTGTTAAAAGAAAAGTCCATGATCATGCGCCCTTCACGTGAGGGGGTTTTTTAGTCTTTTTACACACTCTTTAGTTATTTTTTTTCTTTGGTTTCCTTTTCTTTTTCAAATGAATTGTTAAAAGGAAAACATAACTTGTTAAAAGTTGGAAACCCCCAAAGTTGTTTCCATCTCGATACAGCCGCAAAGAACTCTTCATCGTTTCCGTTTTCCGACTTTAACAACACTCCAAGGTCTCAGTTTCCGATAAATCCTCGTTTGTAACCTCCTATCGACTCCTGATTGTTTTTAAACCCATGGTTGCTAGCATAGAAGAAGCCCTAAAACTTAAGGCTTCATTGCTTTTTCTATGGGTTCACCTTCTTAGATTTACGTATTGTATAATGATTTGGTAGTAATGTGTTTGATTTTTATATGTGTTGTTGATGTTCATACTAAATCAATGGGTCTTCATGGTTAAAAGTTTTGATTTTTGAAGATTTGAGTATGGGTTTAAATTTGATTTGGTTTTGCATTTTAAAGTTTGTTTTATCACATAATGAGAAAATATAAAAAGGCAAAAAGTAAATAACTAAATATTTAAAATACCAAAAAACTCCCATAAGGCCCCTTAACGTTAAATATAATGGAAGTTAGTGGTAGAAATTCAAAGTTGTTAAAATGCAATCATAGAACATAAACAATTGTTTTTTCTAAAATGGACGAGAACTAATCATTTGTTTTTATAATTTAATACCTTTTAATTTATAGTAGAAGGGTACTCAGACAATACAGCGAGATACATCTCTATTTTAATTTTCCATTTTATTTTGTCTTAGTTGATGTTATGATACAGTTTTATGTGGTTTTGAGAAATTCATAATATTTTTATTTTTTAATAAAATATAAATATGAAGATATATTATATAAAAATAAAAAAAAAGATATTGATATTAGTAC